TTGGTCAAAATGACCTAATTACATTTTCAGATTCTTGTCTTTAAAAGCTACATTTTGATACCTGGATCATTCTGATATCATAATTAAATCCATATAAATGACTTAATTTGTCTTGTTGGTTACAATAATACATAAACATTTGGTCTGAATCCTAATTTTATGTCATTTTAATGAGGAATTTTTGATGTCCTTATAAAGAGGAAACCTCAAATTATATTTGAATATTGAGATTTCCCAGCTGAAAAGAAACAAAACTTTGTTAGCTCACAGGGAAAATCTCAAAATATTATGACGTTTTTCCTCAAAATCAGTTTTTTTGTTGCTACTGTTAAAAAAGTGCTTCAAATTTTTGTTTTATGATTATATTTCAGACAGTTCATTCAAATGATACACTGATAAGGCTTTTATTCATTATATTTTGACAAAATGCAAATTTTTTAAACATTTTAGTCAAAACACTATATTTGCCTTTTTCTCCATACACCACTTTTAGACTTAATCCTCGTTTCGATGTGATGGGTCACATTTACTGCAAAGACAGCTTGTAATATTGTTAGGCTCTGCATGTGTTACCTAAGAAGACCCAGGTAGTAGGACTTATCCAGAATCTGTCTCTGGGGTCCTTCCGTGAGGGGAACAATGGCAAAAGGTGGTTGTAGAGTAAGACAGAGTAGGAGATGCATGTAAATGCTTATAAAGTGACTGTATGATGCAACATTATTTTAACTACAAGTTAGATGTTGCAAGCAAAATTTGCTGAAAACTTTAAAAGTACCTTTCATGCCAGTCTTCATTCCACTGAGACCCTGCTGGGTGACCGGCCTGTCAGTTACTCTGATCGGAGCAGACAAAACTGCAGGGATGGCGATACCACCTCTAGTACCACTGGTACCTGGAACCATCTGGAATAAAAATACATAAATCAGTTTCTTCGTGTTGGAGCTCCTACTTGTCAATCTGGGCAAAATGTTAAAAATATAATCTGTTTTCCACCTGAACAACATCTAAACATTTTATGCTGCATGTGAAATGAAATGTTTTATTGAGAAATACACTCATAAGATATCTGATCAATGTGTTTTTATAAACAATACGTGTCAAATTAAACAACAGGGGAGAAGAATTATGATGTCAAAGGCCAAACTCAGTCAAAGTTAATAAAATAATAAAATTTATTGCAGTGATGTGGTTGCTGCACCAATCCGTCTCTCGATTTACTGGTCGGTCTAAGTTCCTACCCTCATCTATGGTCACGAGCTTTGGATAGTGACCAAAACAATGAAATCACAGATACAAGCGGCTGAAATGAGTTTCCTCTGCAGGGTGGCTGGGCTCTCCCTTAGAGACAGGGTGAGAAGCTCGGTCATCCAGGAGGGACTTAGAGTAGAGCCGCTGCTCCTCCACGTCGAGAGGAGCCAGTTGAGGTGGTTCATCTGGTTAGGATGCGTCTGGACTCCTCTCTGGTGAGGTGTTACAGGCACATCCCACTGGGAGGAGACCCAGAGGAAGACCCAGGACACGCTGGAGGGACGATGTTTCTCAGCTGGTCTGGGAACACCTTGGGATTCCCCCAGAGGAGCTGGTCCAAGTGGTTGGGGAGAGGGAGGTCTGGGGCTCCCTTCTGAAGCTGCTGCCCCGAGACCCGACCCCGGATAAGAGGAAGAAAATGGACGGAAAATAAGAAGCTCTTACTTTTTTAGTTGCTCTATTTCCAAATATTTGTACAAATATTTAACATTTTCATAAAACAACCCATGCAGAAACCAAAACCAACATAACTCATTAAGGGCTCGACACACGGGGAGCGACAAACTACAGCGATTGACGGCTGTCATCGCAGCCAGGGTGGAACACGGGACGCGATAGCGATTGTATGGAAAGCGGGCGGTGCCAAATACACGTGACAATACGTGTCAAATTGACACGTATTGTCCACATAGATTTGGCACTGCTAGCTTTTCATAAGATTGCAGTGTTGCGAATCGCGCTCTCAGGTCGCTTGTCTTCACGAAATTTGAGCGGTTCTTCTACTGCCTCTTGTAAAGGTTATTGGTGGTTCACAAAAAAGGGGGGTGTGTGCATTACGGACGTGTAAACTAAACAAATCTTGCGATGCTAATGATATTGAAAAACAAACACACACCAAGATACAGTTTTATGAGGACAAACTTACCCGATAACTTCACCCTGGCACCAGCAAATTCCCACAAAGCTGTCTTTTTTAGTAATCACTTGGTGAAAGTGTTAGCTAACTGCAGTGTGTAGCATACTCTCCTCTCATTGGTCAGTCAATGAAACCCTCGCTGACTGGTTGTACGCTAAGCGACAGCGACAAAATTTGAACATTTTTCAACTTTCATATGTCGCGTCGYAAGCTCACATGTGCACGTCTACGTGTACGAACGCGAAATTTCACATGCACTATTTTCACGGGTTGCTTGGCTGGAGGGCAAGCGATTGTCGCCTCACCGCACAGGCTCCATAGGAAATGAATGGAGAGCGAGCGACGTCGCCTCCCGTGTATCAAGCCCGAAATCTGTGCTGCTGCGGCCTTACCCCTGGTGAAACACGAATGGCAGTAGGAGGAGGTCGGAGCCCTGTTGGAGGTCTTCCAAGGACCACAGATCCACGACTCATTGGCCTGCTGATGTTGGTAGGTGGCCTCTGGCTTGCCATGGTTCCTGTAAAACCAATGGAAACAGAAGTTATAAAGATCATACATAAGTAAGAATGTTGTTCTCACAGCTGTGGTTCTTTTGGCTGCACCCTTCTGCAGGACTTGCAACAGCGAGTGAATCTGCACAAAGGATTTGTCACTTGTTATTGGATAACCTTCCTGACACAACCAACCTGAAACAGCATTTTATATTACAGCCAAAGGATTTACTGTAGCAGTACTTTAACAAAGATAAACCAGGGGTTACAAATGAGTAGGTTAGGGTTACATGTAGTAAAGCAAAAACACAGACCTAATGATACTAGAATACTAGCATTATTACACATAAACTCTCAAAAAGACCACCTTTTAATCAACAGATCAGTGTTCAAATTACCTGAGATTTGCCTGTCTGAAATACGTTTTTTTTTTTCAGGTTTTCCCTGATTTGCAGATTCTGCTTCATAATGAAGCAATAAACCACAAACATGCTTTAAATATTTGTTTTTCAATGATGGACTCATGAGAAAAAGTAAAGTATGAAAAATTATTGATCTATACCTGGAAAGTGTAAAATGTCGTATTACACTACATTGCTTCTGTACTTATGTGAAATACATACAGAGTTTTAAAGTAACAAAGTACAAATATTTTGTTAATGTACTTAAGTAGAAATTTTGGTTATCTGTACTTTACTTGAGTAATTATTTTTCAGCATACTTTTTACTTTTACTCATTACATTTTTACACAATTATCTGTACTTTCTACTCACTACATTTTTTAAAAGGTAAGAAGTAGAAAGTCATTACTCCTATTTTATACTGAGTTGTTATTACTTAAAAAATACTATCCTGATAAATAGTGTCTCCTGATAGAGTGAATTTAACTGTGGTCGGATGAGAAGTATAAATATATGCCATTTTGACACCGTATTACTTTGTACACAGTCCATCACAGCTGCACGCCGTTAGAAATAAAAAATTTTTGGAGAAGTCACCTCCCAATAAATGTCATTTTGGAAAATCTAACTGCTCACTTTTACTCAGTACTTTTACTTTTAATACTTAAGTAGATTTTGTGTCAGAAATTTACTTTTGATACTTAAGTACAAAACATATCAGATACTTTAAGGGTGTATTCAGACCAGGAAAGTCCTTTGGTCCAGACC